CAGCAAAGCCAGGCCGGGCGGCCACAGCGTCACAGCGCAGAGCAGATCGGCAGGCCCCGGCCCCCCGTACCGTGTAGGAGGAGACGTCGATGCTCTCCACGTACTGCTTCACGCTGCCCAGGTTCTCGTCCTCCTTCCCCAGGTGATCGTACAAGAAACGCACCAGGTCCTCGTCGCACTCGTAGCTCCACGTGGGGGGCACGCCCCTGCCGGCACACGCGGGGTTAACCCCCAGGAGGCCCAGTGCCGGCCCGACTGACCTTACGGAAGCCCCCTCCCCCACCTGGGAGCTGGATGGAACGCCCCAGAGCCCAGCGGGCTGTCCCGCGCCCACCAGCAGGGGGTGCTGTGGAGGACAGACGCGCCCGACTCCGCCACGCACTCACCGCGAGGGACCCAGCGCAGAGCCCGATCCCAGGCCTGCCCAGCCTCCCCGCGCCGACCCACAAGCTCACAGCAAAGAGCGAGGCCGCAGCAGAACCAGCGCCTGAGACAGCCACGTGCACCCAACAACCCCCCCCGGGGCATCCTGTGTCTGCCCCGACTCCCCCACGCCCAGGGGCCCTCTCCAGCCCACCCCACAGGGTGTCACCCAGCCCGGCCTGGCCCCACAGGGGGGTCCCAGCTGGATGACCAGGGCCGGCCGGGAACGCCCAGGGGCTCTCTGGCCTAACCCAGCTGAACCCGCGCCACGGGCCGTGCTGCTACCGGAGCTTCTGCACCGCCGCCTCGTCCGGCTCCATGGCCTTGGGCTTGGCACCGAGCCGCAGGGAGTACGTCAGATCCACCACCTGCTCCCACCTGCAACAGCGCAAGGGCGGAGGGTTGGGGGAGGGGAGATGGGCCTGGGACAGGGAGAGATGGGAGGAGGGGAGGGCAAGTCCCTGCTTTGCGGCAGAGCCGTTGTGGGACCCAGCCTGGGCTGGTCTCTGGGCGTGTCCCGTCTGCCTCCCCGGGGGCAGGGAGGGGCTCAGACACTGCAGACCTGGGGGTTGGTGAGTCCTGGACAGCGCAAGGGCGGAGGGTTGGGGGAGGGGAGATGGGCCTGGGACAGGGAGAGATGGGAGGAGGGGAGGGCAAGTCCCTGCTTTGCGGCAGAGCCGTTGTGGGACCCAGCCTGGGCTGGTCTCTGGGCGTGTCCCGTCTGCCTCCCCGGGGGCAGGGAGGGGCTCAGACACTGCAGACCTGGGGGTTGGTGAGTCCTGGATACGCCAGCCGGCTCCCTCCCCCCCACGCCCGGCTCTCCCCCGA